TTGGGATAACCCAAGCGATGACGACACTTGTAGAGAGTTTTGCGGTACATTAATATTAATAAGACGGCACGTCTCAAATGTGCCCCAGCCGTAGAGCGCCAAAACATAGCCCACAGTAAGCAATCTAAAAATAAACGCCATAGACAGTGCATTATTCCATGCCAAAATTATGTGGGCCCCGGAGCAATCCAGCGGAGTGCTCAAGTGAATTGTGATTGGTTCATTGTCTTGTCGCTATTTTAAGTGACTCTGTGACCGTGAACCTGAGGGAGGTGAACGTGACATACTTAAGGCACTGTCCTATGAGTTGTGCTTTTGAACGGTTTTGTAGTAGAGTGGTGAAAGGTATTACTTGAGCGTTCAGTTCTAATGCAGGATGAATGAAATTGACGTTTAGCTAATAAACAGATTTAGTTCTAGAAGTCAAAGCCACAAGTAAAAAGAATGAAAATAAAAGCATAAGGTCTTCCTTCACCAACCCAAAGATCCTAAAATTATACACCATCCCATTTACTCTGCCCTTGATTATCTTCAGCCTAAGATAGCTTAATTGTGCACGCCCACTTTTTAGACCCACGAGCCGCCTCTGGCTGGGATGTCTTACCCCACTCAGAACTGATAGATTTCGACATGCAAGGTCCATATATCCAGCTCCACCTCCTCCCCCAACTCTTAAGTGACCTAAAGTATGACGACGAGAGTGTAAAATATTCACCGTTAGATTGCAATGATACACATATATAACAACCTCGTGCAAGCAGATAAGGACCACCTGTGGAAGGGTTTCTAAACATTAAAAATATGTTTGCTGGGACGTTTTACAGCACTCAGTCCGGATAGATCTCGACATGTAGGGTCCAAGTATCCCCCCCCCCCTAAAGTCACCTATTATGTTGATGAGAGAGTAAAATATTTACAGGTCATTACAATTATTATACACATAACTGTATAACAACCTCTTGGAAACAGATAAGGACCACCTATGGACAGGCCAATATAAAGGGAAGGGCTTTTAAACATTTGTTAGTTGGGATGTTTACACCCCACTCAGAACGGGTAGATCTCAACATGCAAGGTCCAAATATCCAACCCCCC